TGTTTAAGCACTTCTTCTCATTTGTGGCTTATTATATCGGTCGCACACGCTATACAGTCCAACTTATCTGTGGACGTGTTGCTACAGAGTTTTATATGTAAAGCACCGCGCGTAATGTGTTATCAACTGATATTGCTAACAATGGCAATTAACCGGCCTAGAATTGGATTTCATGATTAGTCGGATTATTTGTCGGATTTACAGTAGTTCTGGCTAATTGTAAGTGAACGAAGATAAAGACCATTTAAACTGAGGTACCTTAAATACGACAAGTTGTTCGGCTAAGCAGAAAATCTTACTTTTTGATATGGGTCCATGTTATTGCACTTCTGTGGCAGATGGAATGCATCCGACTCATGTTCAAGATGTTCAATGAACATGTTAAGTGCATATATATTCCCTTTTTTCTTGAGTCCGTTTGCTCATGCAAAATTAATTGTGATTAATATAGATTCAAAATGAATGATATTTAATCGTGATTAATCTAAATTAATCCACAGCAACCCTGTGATTAATCTGATTAAAAAAATTTAATCGTTTGACAGCACTAATATATATATATATACATACATACATACATCATTTCTTCCATGCTTACCCAGGGACTTTGCCCTGTTGCCATGGTGATAAAGCCACACCTCTGGCTATCTGAATTGACAGGTCACATGTCCCACCACTCTACAGCTGTTTAAACATTAGCCTACTAATGAGAAATAAACTAGCACTTTTTTGCCTAGGCATTTAAATTTACTACATAGCTTTATCAATAACAGCCACAATGTACAAAGTCCTAAGGTTGCTATGAAGCCAGTCAATGGAATGTCTAATCTTTAATGTATTATGAATACCTTCATAATGCATAATAAAGGTCAGGATTAACAATTAAGTATGCTTTGTGAAGCATTATGAAGATATTCGTAGTGCATTATAGATAAGACCTTCATAGAGCATCACACAAAAAACACGTCTATAACGTCTTATGTCTTTTTATGAATAGTTAAAGCCGTGTTTATAATACTTTATTGATGTATAATGCAATGTATAAAGTTAGGTATGCATAATGCAATATAATAACTGCTTTAGGTAAAGTGTTACCAATATTTTTCCCCAGCAAGGTAGTGCGTGGATCATTATGGAGGCGAAAATGCACTTTGTTTTCTGTCTAATGTGATTAATATCGATGTTTTATGGATTAAAATATATGCTTTAAGCATAGGATTACTCTGGAATATTTTAGCACACAACGCAACTCGGACAACCGGATCAAGCAAGTTCTTTCGATTGCAAAGATGCATGCGATTCATGTCTGTGCATTATACCTATCCAAAGTTACGAGCCTGAGGTTAACAGGTGCATGCATTTTGTGTTAGTTGGGTTCTAAGGGTTAAACATGTGAATATTAAGCCTTTGTGATAAATATTGAGGCATTTTTATGAGTGGTCTTGACTGGTCTTAAAATAAAACCGAGTCCTTTATTTCCGAGATCGAGACAAGACAGAGTCAAAATGAAGTTGATTCTGAGAGGAGACCAAAACCGCAAAAAGTGGTCTCGAGACCAAGACTGGTCTCGGGTACTACAGGACTATTTAATGACCTCCAGGTATTACTTTCACAGGATTGCCAGCATTAAGAAGCAAAATGCTATTTTGAAAACAGATAATTACTGCTTTGCAGTTACATTTTTACAGATATGTAACTCACTGTGGTTTCTTTTTGAGACAGTCTTGCTTCCACAGCGTGGATAATACTGCCCCCCCAGCCCCTCCAGAACCCCCTGTTCCAAGCAATGGCCACAGGAGACCACTTGATGTTGGGTGGATGGCGGCAGGCAATTAAAAATTCAATCAATCAATTATTAAAGGAATTGGACACTAAACAATATACATTATACTATATACAAACAGGCAACATGATAAAGTCCTAGTAGGTGTGTGCTGCCTTTTAGACCCACCATTCCAGCTAACAGGGAAAGCTCCCAGAATTTCAACCAATGTTACGTGAATCTTCTCAAAGCTGGCAAAGATCATTCTTACTGTAACATAATGGAACGTTTTTTCCAAATTTTACATTAAGGTTCTGTCAGTGTCAGCACAATATATTTTTCTTTGTACTTTGTTTTGCATTAAATGTTGCTTTCCCTATTCTGTGGGTGAACAGGCAAACCTATAAACTACATTTGCAGTGATGTCCAGTTTTCCTAATGAAATCGTGGCAGTCGACAGCACTGACAAAGTTTATACAAAGTAGAAGTACTTTGACTACGAAATGCAGTTGGACATCTAATCGAAAGCGCAAAATAGAATTAAAGTGCTAGAAGGAGCTGTACATTATTATCGTTGTAAAATGTCCAGGTTTGTGATAAATGTCCTTAGGTCCCTAAATGTAACATTTTGTTGTGCCTCGATCTACCTCGTACAGTTCAGAATCACTCTTCTTGGATTTTTTTGCTTTTACTTACAGTCGCTATCGTCCTACTTTGCAAACAGAAACGCTTGATTTGCACATTCTATGAACATGTAGCTCATTTGCCTTGATCATCTATCGCTGTCTGTGAACAACTGGGCAAGATCACAGGTTCATGCACGTACACAGATTTAGATAGTTTCGATATTTCCAAAGGCCAGGCTAGACAAATTCGAATATTGTCCGTACACATTTTTCTTCACGATTAAGTTTGATAAATGAATCGCCTCAATAGGACGCGTAAGCTGAACGCGTTTCAGTCAGAAGAGGCTGGTCATATGTCCAGAAAGCACAGCTTTCATTGAGCTTCTTAACACTCAATTTATTGTGCGAGCCGGCATTTATAATGTACAGGGAACAGTAATATTCTCAACGTCTTTCCTCGCACTTCAAAAACAGGGCAGTTTATCTGAACCCTTCTGACACTAATGCTTTAATGTAGGCATATATGACTTTTACTTCCCTTCTATCACTTTGCATCTTAACGTCAGACGACAGTATTCTCTCATTTGAAGATTAACATTTACATTTTTGACCTAAAGTACCTTAGGATCCCTGGAAAGATACGGAGTCACGGGATCGGCTTCCCACTCAGTATCAGAATGACGAGTCATGCGTTTTTGCACTTACGGCTACACACCGCTGATTTTGAAACTCTCCGGAAAACCATGCCACTACACCTTCAACAGGAAACGCTTGATCAAACGTTTTTTCCTCCCTCGATAAACGATACTTATTGATTAAGCTTACCTGTAGATGAGGAAATGTTCAACAGGAACAAAGCACAACCCGATGTCAAACTAAGACCAGTTTTGTGTTGCATAATGCGGAAGTTAAATGGATACTAATACATAATTGCAGGCCTTCCTGAAAACTAGCTAACTAGATTTTATCCAGTAACAGAGGTTTTACAAATACGGACTGCAGTCCCCCCTTAAGAAACACGTGTTACAGCAACATCTGTAGTTCTGGTTCCGACAGTTAAAGAAACTGACGCACGACAGATACCAAACAATCAAAAACCAGAAAATGTGGTACTTTTTACTACAAAAACAGGACTTCAAACGAAAACAAGGTTTCTAAGAATATCACTTACTCCAAATCCCATTCTCCGGCTTTGTGTAAATCTTCAAAAATATCTAAATCCCACTGACTTAAGATATAATAAAATTAAAATCTCATGTACTTTACTGCCTCCGACTGAGCCCCACTCACACGTGTCACACACTAAAAACCCCCTTATCTTAAGCCGCGATTCAAAAGTTTTTATACCAGGTTCCTCCTCCGGTGACGTCTGCTCCATTTGCCATGGTAACAGAAAAAAATAGGCGGAGTCTGCAGTACGGTTCAGTCTATTGACCCAGGCTTTACAATGAAGCCATGTGTTGGATTTTTGCCTTTTATGTAAAAAGGGGTGAGTCAAGAATGATAGCTCTCCTTACAACATGAGTGTGATAACATGCAGTATATTACATTTATAATTTTTTATGTTTAAGTATAAAAATTAATAATTTAAATCAAATTGTAAAGTGTGGGTTTCTGCGCATTTCGACTAAAAATATTAATCAACTTAGGGGTTAACATTATTTCAACAGACTATTACAGGGCGTTCTTTTCTTTTCTTTTCTTTTCTAAATAGTATGTTCCTATTCATTCTCTTTAAACCCAGGCATCCCCCACCCAAGTAATGGCAATATGTAATATTCTACAAACTTAATGAACAGATAGGATTGCCGCAACATCTTTAAAGTTACACACCTTTAAAATTATACTTGATGAAACTGATTAAATAGGTGTACATCCATAAAATAATTCTCCTATTGCAATAATCTGTTTGACCTTGACCACATGAATGAAAGGTGATCTAACATTTTTTTATACAAATAAATAATTAACTGTTTAACTTAGTATCTAACTAGAACACTGTCTCCAAGGTCTCATTTACAAAAATGCATTTTATTAGCATGCTGGTATCTGCAGTATTGACACTGTTCACACTTAGGAATATCTTCCCTTTTTATATTTCTCTTTTTCTATTTTGTCATTTTTGGGTTATGCGTGAAAAGTTATTAGCAATGTGTGCTTTATGATAGTGATCTCTGCAGGGTTGGGGCCATTCCGGAATGCATTCATCAATTCCAGTCCAAATCAGGAAATGGAACTGGAGATGGGATTGGAAAAAAAACTATGGGGAACAGAATTGGAATTGAATTCGAATTTCAGGGAGATTTAAATTCCAACTCCAGTTCCATTTTCTGATTTGGATTGGAATTGACGAATGCATTCCAGAATGGCCCCAACCCTGGATCTCTGTCTGTTCCACTCATGAGCAAAGGTGGAACTGTAAGGCTGGTTACTTCTTAACTTATTTTCATTTTTGATGTTTCACCAAATTTTTTTTGTAGTTTTTTTTTTTTTAAGTGTCTCAAGGAAACACAGGTTTAGGACCCTTTGACTTCCAAAACCCTGAGCCATACTAACTTTGTGAAGAGATTAAGAAAAACTGTTTACAAATTTAAGAAAGGTGAGTTGAAGGCCAGTTCTTGAAGATTACGTGTCACCTTATGTGAATTTTAACCGAGTCAGAGATCCAAAAGTAAAAGAAAAAAATCATCTGAACACTATTGCTCTGATGAAATCTGAAGAACAATTTTTGTCATAAACACCTGGCCAAGGGTAGTCACATTGGTAAAACCCTCAGTGTTTGAGTTTGACTTTTGTTCTTCTTCCATTCAATTTTTTCAACAGATTGAAGTGTCACCAGTTCTGATCTGGAATCACTCTTTTTGTAACGGAGCCTAGAATTTTGTTGGAAACTATCATGATATGTCTGCCTTGGATTAAAGTACAGTACTGTACGGCTGGGTTTCCTTATATGTTTATCGCCATCTGCTGGGACACATGTAGCACATTATTAAATACATGCTGTATATTTTTTGCCTGTACTGAATAATATGCAGAGGGATGCCCAGATTCCCTGCAGCATAATGTTTACACATCTCTGTTATAATATTTGTATTTTTTATTCACATTTTTACGATTGACTGGGCAGTCACTCATAGGTCAGCAAGGCAAGGGCGTAACTTTGGCTGGAACATTGGGGGGGTTGAGGTCTCCACCCATTATGGGGGAAACATGATTATTGTGGGGGTTGTATTAGCTGGTTTTGATTTATTGGGGGGGCTACAACCCCCCCCCCCCCATAATTTATGCCCATGCAGCAAGGGGTGAGTCAAGAATGATAGTTCTCCTTGCAACATGAGTGTGATAACCTGCATTATATTACATTCATAATTGTTAAATCAGCAGACAGCATCAAAATGAGAGAGGTCATAAAATATGCAAGCAGGCACATTAAGTACACTGCACATTGTGTATTGAGAGGTAAGTAGTGTAACAATGGTACACAGTGTCCTGAAGCACACAGAGACTCTCTGTCTGGCTGAACAGGAATGGCGGTTACTCTCTGAGCATGTGTGTGGGGGCACCACCCTCTGTCTGGAGAGTATTTCATTTTTTACCATGAACAATTTATGATCCCATTGTTTCTGACAAAAGAAAGATATAGTGTTGAAGTTTGAGTAGGAAGTGACATTAGGTGGGAGGGCGGGGGGTAAGCAAATGGAAACAGTCATTACTTGCAGCTATTGTCTCCTGTGCTGAACAGAACACAGGATAATGGTAACAATAAAGCTCTAGATCTGAACTTATAATGCTTCATCAGATACTACTTTTTTATTTTAAAGGGGGGAAAAACTACAATGTTAACCGACTCTTTATCCCGCTTTATCATTCTTCCTGTCCTTGACAGTGATGTTGAATGTCAAAAGTCTAACTGTTTGAAGGGGATTTGTACGGTTTATTCTGCATTGACGTGAAAACTGTGTAAATAGATTTTCAAAAAGTAATCAACCTACAATACACTAAAGGTTTTATTTTTTATTTATTGTTATACTTATTTATTTTTAATTTGACCAAATCTGGAAGCTGCGTGTAAGTATATGGAATGTGCCACTTTTGGAAGTTCTGCTTGACATGGAGAACAACACATCTAGACAACTTGCAGGACAGTACAGTCAGATGACACATCAGAACAAGATGCACTTAAACATCAAGGAGAATAACAAATGGAGATGACATACAGAACAACACAGTCAGCCAAAAGACAGAGAGAATGACACATCAGTACTACATTCACATCAACACAGTTAGACGACACATCAGGGCAACATGCGAAATGACAAGGACAAGGAGAATGACAGGCAGAACAATAGAGTCAGGGAGGAGGACATATTTCGTTCAGCTGACATAGACAGTGTGCACGTCGACATATTTTTGACATATTTTGGCCCCATAATCCTTATAAAATGAAGTATATATCAATACTTACAGGAAAGTTAGTACATAACAATAACAAGCATGATCCAGTTTGATAATACTGCTGTGTGAACTTCCAGTAAAATTAAAAGCTGAATGTTGCAATCTGTTAGACATTTCATCACCTTCTATCATGTCAATGTAACTCCAACATAAACCTAATGATCTTAATTCCATTTCTCACATGCATCTGTATTCTGGCTTTTTTCACTTTTTTTTAAAAAAGTTGACATCTGACACTTACCACAAAACTTAAAATACAGACAGTAAGGCACAGGACATCCTGAAATAGGAAGCCAAACTTACTCGGGACAGCATAATACCAACTTGGAGCGGCAGTTACTGTGTTGCTACAGCATTAATTGCTATTTGTGCTATGGTATTAATTCATATAATGTACAGAAACAAGGAGGCCTCATCACTGAGAATCATTATGAAACTATGGCAACCACATCATTGAGATATGCAATAAGCCCCTATCCAAAATGCATAGTTTGAGTAGAGAAAACTGCAAATTTTTCTTGTTTGTGTGAAAATCATGTTGCATACATACTGTATACTAGTTGTTTTTTCAGTATGGACTGTAATGAAGGTACAAACATTACCAACATATTTTTCACATTTAGAAATGTCTCCCAAAGTGAAGTGAAACAGATAATCAATACAGTTGTAACTGTGGGCCTGTTTGTGTGGGCTCTTCTTTAGGTTTCCTGACTGCCTGATGTCTTTGAAACATTTTGTTATTTACCCTACTGCCAGTATCTTATTGAAAGATAGGACTGATCTGCAAAGTGTTTCAGCTTCACAGGAGGCTTTTGAAGCCACCCGGATCCAATAGTCTATCCAGCACACACCACAAACAAGCTCTCACTGTGGGCAGCCTACAGCTTTTCTGCTTGGGGAAAAACCCTCGCTACTGTATATAGACTTAGTTATTTTTCAGTAGCCTACTATGTCACATATCCTTGCGTAAAAAGAATGTGGTTTCTTTCTGTGTGTAGACATTTCTCGGATTTTACCTCCCAAATGAATTGGGACATATTTGAAGGAAAGATTATTTCAGAAAAAAAGCAAGATAAATTCTCAATATAAATATAAAGATTATTATTTTTTTTTTCATTAGGCACTTACTTCACCAGTGTCCTTGCCAGCATATCTGTTTTGTCCCTTATTGTGTACATTTCTGCTGTTCCAGTTTCACAGATATCTTTCCAGAGAGGTACAGTATTAGCCATTTACATTATGATATTCGGTTTGCGCAAATAGGAAGTGCAAATTTTTCCCCGGTCTTAAGATTTTGTTCAGGACTGTACATTGACACTTCCATGTCTCACTCTAGCCAGTGTAGGGAAGCAGTTAAAACAGGATGCTGGGCTACACCTCCAGGTGTGTGGAGTTTAAATCAAGGGAGGTAATGCTAAGATTTATATAATTCCCTTGTCAGACCTCATTTTAAATACTGTGTCCAGGTTTGGTCACCTTACCACAAAAAGGTAGTAGCTCAAGTAGTTGCTTTAGAAGTGTTCCAAAGCAGGGCTACAAGAATGATTCCAGGCCTTAGGGGGGATGCCTTACGAACAGAGGTTGGCAGACCTTAATTTGTTTATTTATAAATAGTGAGGGAACACTTTAGTTTGGATCTGAGAAAGAACTATACTTCTCACAGCATGTAATTAGAATATGGAATAGTCTGCCCGAAGGGGTAGTGCAAGCTTCCTTCTAATCTGAACTTGACAAGATCCTGCCAACTTCAAATTATTAGTTTAATTCCCTCCAAGTCTGCTCGATGGGCCAAAATGGCCTCCTGTTTGTAACTTTCTTATCTTTTTATGTGCACCACAGAGACACTCAAGACAAGGACAAAGGACATCAGCTTATGGGAA